GCCCCAGAGCCAGGGCCCGCCCCTGCCCACCAGCCCCCCTTTGCCTGGCCCTCGGCCCAACCGTCAGCTCTTCTTCCCTGTCTTGGCCCCTTTGATGGAGCCGCAGAAACAAGGGCTCCTTTGACAGAAGGGGGGCTCGGAGCTGGGATGATGAGACTTCAAAGGTGAAGGTCAAGCCCACTACCCCACTCCCTCCCCCAATCCTGGCCGCCCTCCCGTGCACCCCTCCCCCCAGGCTGTCCTCTATATAGACCCCGCAGCCCCATTCCCCTGTGGGCTCCTAGGAGTTAAGGGCCAGGTGAGGGGCAGACCAAGGGAGGCGGGTAATTTTGATGTAAGAGAACGGGGTCAGATGATTTGAGGGACAAGAATTCAGTGCCCAGGGGTAGAAAGGCAGCGGACGACGGGCACCAAAGGACAAGTGCCTGAAGGTGGACCCCGAGGAGGAAAGAGGACGGGGTCTCTCGCTCCAGTTCCTGGCCACCATGCTGCTGGCTGTGCTGCTGCTGCTGCTACTGTCCCTCCCAGACTCGTGGTATGCCCATGGGCACCCACTGTACACACGCCTGCCCCCCAGCACCCTGCAAGGTAAGCCCCAGCTGGTCTGAGGGAGCCGCTGAGGTGGGAGGAACATAGAGACGCAGAGTCCCAGTGGGGAGAGATGAGCTTGTCACCTCCACTCCTAAAGACCTTTGGCCCTTTCCGCCAACCCTGCTGGGAGAAGGGGCTAGACACTGGTATAACCAGGAGAGGAAGGGGAAGGTGAGGCTGGAAAGGGAAGGGCTGTCAAGCGCTGCTGAATAGCATTTGGAGAAGGTTCCAGACTTAGCAGGGAGGAAAGGGCCCGGTGCACCATGCTTTAGGCTGTCTGGGCCCAAAGGTGGACAACTCAACCGCGGTGACTCTAAGTCAATAAGCCTGAGTTCTATGATATCTGTATCTGTAGGGTGGTGATTTTTCCTTAAAATGTTTCAAGAAAGGGCACTTTTCAAAGATTTCAGTGCAGCTTAGTGGAATTATGGAAGTATCTTCAGGCTGAGAATCTGGGATCATCAGCTCTGAGTGCTGGGCCTGCGCGGTTCCTAGGGCTCAGTCTCCCCCTCATTCCGTTCCAGTGCCCGGGGAGGCCAGCCTGCTTCCCTGGGCATCTCCCAAGGTGGGACTCAGGGCTGGGGCAGGAAGACAAGACTGAGGCTCTTCCCCAACCACACATGATTTTGTGCCCCCGTCCCAGCAGTTCTGTCAACCCAGGGGACACAAGCGCTGCAGGCGGCCCAGAGGAGCGCCCAGTGGGCAGTAAACCGAGTGGTGATGGAGATCCAGCACAGATCGCATGAGTGCCAAGGTTGTTCCAACCATGCTACCCCGTGCCCTGGTGAACTTGCTCTCCCTACCCTGGGCCCTTCTCCTGTTGGTCCCCATCCCTTTCCTTCAGACTTGACTCCCCTTTTGGGGCAGAGACTGGGTGGGGCTGCAACCAAGACAACCGGTTTGAAGGGCTCTCCAAGTGGAAGGAGCATGCCAGGCTTGGGGCACAGCCCGTGCAAAGGCAGGGAGGCAGAAATATTGTGGGCTCATGTGGTGAACTGTGACAAGTTCATGGCTGCTGAAATAGAACCTGTGAGCCAGGGGGTGGAGTGTAAGGGGAGCGGTAGGGGAGAGAGAGGCTCAGGCCCAGGCTGGGGTGGAGGACCGGCAAGAGGGTGGCAGTGAGACTCAAAGGTCTGTCTGTTTCTCAGCAGGATCTGGGCACTCCAGGCCTCAAGCCCCCCTCCTTCAGGACCCACCTGAGCCAGGTGAGGCTGAAAAGGCTCTGGGAGGGGACAGAGCTGAGACTTGGGTGGGCCTCTATGGTGAGGACGATCAGAACTTGTCCCTCCTGATGCCACTTGTGCCTTTCTAGGGCCATGTGGCGAAAGGCGCCCAAGCACTGCCAATGTGACGCGGGCTCATGGCCGCATAGTGGGGGGCAGCGCTGCACCTCCGGGGGCCTGGCCCTGGCTGGTGAGGCTGCAACTCGGGGGGCAGCCTCTGTGCGGCGGCGTCCTGGTGGCGGCGTCCTGGGTGCTCACAGCGGCGCACTGCTTTGCGGGGTATGTCGGATCCCCAGACCCCAGCCCAGTCAGGTCCCCAACGCTAGATCCAGCACCTGCCAGATGGCCGAAAGCGCGACGCGCGGAAGAGTCGGTCTCTGCTGCCCCCTGGCGGCAGCCAGCCCTGGGCTTCCCGGCCTCAAGGCGCCGGTGCCAGGCTAGAGTGCAGACCCCGAGCGGGTGGCACTGCCCGACGCTTTCTCCCACTCCCCGGCCCGCCCTCCCTACCCCTAGATGTAGAAAGCCGGGCTTGCTGTGTGGTGCCCGTGGGCGGAGGGGCAGGGTCTCCAGGGGGCCTGGCTGTGCCCCTGTCCTTCCCGCGTGTCACCCGCCACTCACCCCGCAGCGCCCCGAATGAGCTTCTGTGGACTGTGACGCTGGCCGAGGGGCCCCGGGGGGAGCAAGCGGAGGAGGTGCCGGTGAACCGCATCTTGCCCCATCCCAAGGTGAGAGGGTAGTCCCCAGGCCCTCAGAGTCGGGAACAGCCCTCCACCCCACGCCTGGTTGACCCCGAGTTGACCCGCCACCCTCTCCTCAGTTTGACCCACGAACCTTCCACAATGACCTGGCCCTGGTGCAGCTGTGGACGCCCGTGAGCCCGGCGGGGCCGGCGCGCCCCGTGTGCCTGCCCCAGGAGCCCCAGGAGCCCCCCGCCGGCACCGCCTGTGCCATCGCGGGCTGGGGAGCCCTCTTCGAAGGTACTGGCAGGGTGGCCCGCGCGTGCGTGGGAGGAATGGGGGGTCACAAGGCGTGGAGTTTGGGGAGGTCCGGCTGCCTTGCGAAATGCTGCCCTGTCTCGCAAAGAGGGAAGAGTTGAGGAGTAAGGAGACCCTCAGTGCGCGCTCCTATCCCGCGTCAACCGGAGCCCTTTCCTCCCCTTCCCTGCAGATGGGCCCGAGGCTGAGGCGGTGAGGGAGGCCCGCGTCCCCCTGCTCAGTGCCGAGACCTGCCGAAGGGCCCTGGGGCCCGGGCTTCGCCCCAGCACCATGCTCTGCGCTGGTTACCTGGCGGGGGGCATTGACTCGTGCCAGGTAGGAACCCAGATTGACCCGAGGGGCTGATGAGCCGCTCTCCCGAGACAGAAAGTCCTCCTTTCCTCCCACGGTCTGGCTGTCACTCGGCTTCTCTGACCCGCTGTCCTCATCGCTAACGTGGATACAAGTGACGACCACAGAAAAGCTCAGAGCTGCCCTACCCTGTAAGGCGGGCATGATAAGGGTCGAGCGAATGCAGTCTCCTCTCTCCTGGCCCCGCAGGGTGACTCTGGAGGGCCCCTGACCTGTTCCGAACCTGGCTCCAACCCCAGGGAAGTCCTGTTCGGAGTCACCTCCTGGGGGGACGGCTGTGGGGAGCCAGGGAAGCCCGGGGTCTACACCCGCGTGGCAGTGTTCAAGGACTGGCTCCAGGAGCAGATGAGAGGTGAGCTCCCCCTTCCCATCCCCCTTCCCAGAGTGTCCCCACGGGCAGCCCGGGGACAGGCCCGTTTCCACCAGTCCCGCGCCCAGCCCCTGCGCCCTCTCGCTGGCTCCCTCCAGGGGAAGGGCTGCAGGGGCTAGGGCCCAAGGCACCGGGTGAGCAGGCCCCTGCCCCGCCCGCAGCC